GACTAGGTTGGGGGATCATCGTGAATCTTTCACACCAACTTGACTGCGTGACCCAGTAGTTGAGCTCGGTGAAGCATGAACACAGCTGATATCATCAACACTGTAGGACTAGGTTGGGGGATCATCGTGAATATCTCACACCAACTTGACTGCGTGACCCAGGAGTTGAGCTCGGTGAAGCATGGACACAGCTGATATCATCAACACTGTAGGACTAGGTTGGGGGATCATCGTGAATATCTCACACCAACTTGACTGCGTGACCCAAGAGTTGAGCTCGGTGAAGCATGGACACAGCTGATATCATCAACACTGTAGGACTAGGTTGCGGGATCATCGTGAATCTCTCACACCAACTTGACTGCGTGACCCAAGAGTTGAGCTCGGTGAAGCATGAACACAGCTGATATCATCAACACTGTAGCACTAGGTTGGGGGATAACGGCGAATCTCTCACACCAACTTGACTTTGGACCCAGGAGTTGAGCTCGGTGAAGCATGGACACAGCTGATATCATCAGCACTGTAGGACTAGGTTGGGGGATCATCGTGAATATCTCACACCAACTTGACTGCGTGACCCAGGAGTTGAGCTCGGTGAATCATGGACACAGCTGATGTCATCAACACTGTAGGACTAGGTTGGGGGATCATCGTGAATATCTCACACCAACTTGACTGTGTGACCCAGGAGTTGAGCTCGGTGAAGCATGGACACAGCTGATATCATCAACACTGTAGGACTAGGTTGGGGGATCATCATGAATATCTCACACCAACTTGACTGCGTGACCCAGGAGTTGAGCTCGGTGAAGCATGGACACAGCTGATATCATCAACACTGTAGGACTAGGTTGGGGGATAACGGCGAATATCTCACACCAACTTGACTGCGTGACCCAGGAGTTGAGCTCGGTGAAGCATGGACACAGCTGATATCATCAACACTGTAGGACTAGGTTGCGGGATCATCGTGAATCTCTCACACCAACTTGACTGCGTGACCCAGGAGTTGAGCTCGGTGAAGCATGGACACAGCTGATATCATCAACACTGTAGGACTAGGTTGGGGGATCATCATGAATCTCTCACACCAACTTGACTGCGTGACCCAGGAGTTGAGCTCTGTGAAGCATGGACACAGCTGATATCATCAACACTGTAGGACTAGGTTGGGGGATCATCGTAAATCTCTCACACCAACTTGACTGCGTGACCCAGGAGTTGAGCTCGGTGAAGCATGGACACAGCTGATATCATCAACACTGTAGGACTAGGTTGGGGGATAACGGCGAATCTCTCACACCAACTTGACTGCGTGACCCAGGAGTTGAGCTCGGTGAAGCATGGACACAGCTGATATCATCAACACTGTAGGACTAGGTTGGGGGATCATCGTGAATATCTCACACCAACTTGACTGCGTGACCCAGGAGTTGAGCTCGGTGAAGCATGGACACAGCTGATATCATCAACACTGTAGGACTAGGTTGCGGGATCATCGTGAATCTCTCACACCAACTTGACTGCGTGACCCAGGAGTTGAGCTCGGTGAAGCATGGACACAGCTGATATCATCAACACTGTAGGACTAGGTTGGGGGATCATCGTGAATATCTCACACCAACTTGACTGCGTGACCCAGGAGTTGAGCTCGGTGAAGCATGGACACAGCTGATATCATCAACACTGTAGGACTAGGTTGGGGGATCATCGTGAATATCTCACATCAACTTGACTGCGTGACCCAGGAGTTGAGCTCGGTGAAGCATGGACACAGCTGATATCATCAACACTATAGGACTAGGTTGGGGGATCATTGTGAATCTCTTACACCAACTTGTCTGCGTGACCCAGGAGTTGAGCTCGGTGAAGCATGTCTGTGCCATCTTCGAGGTAAAGAAAGGATATATTATAACTAACTCTTTTCGGGGACAGTCAGTAGAGATACCTTGGAGTGGCTGATGCATCTGAGGACTGAGCATGCATGGGGATGCCCAATGTGCAAAGATGTCAGTTATGATAACATAGCATAACCACACCATTGTCAGCAACACTTTTCTTTTACAATCGACAAATAATCATTGATCAGGTGCTTAGAATGATGTAAATGTATAGTTTGAGGCTTTCTAATTGTACTATCAAAGGCTTACCATTAAATTCTTCTGCTTTAAAGTCAACAAGTCATTCCCAGTTGTCCACAACAGTTTCTAACAGCTGATCATTGATTAGAGCCTCAAAACTGCTGTAGTCTTGTGTTCATTTTCCGTAGACTTATACTTTATTTCTTTGGTACGTAAATGACTGCTACTGCCACTATTCACAATTTTGAGCTGTTCTGTGGTGTAGTATATCTGTTGCTGGTCAAGCCAAATTTAAGTTGTAGACTTTCCTGCTTTTAGTTTACGTAGCCTCTTCTAGATTCTTTCTGCCAGATAGCCTCCATTACTGCAATGACCCTCTTGGGCTGTTGTCACTAGCAGCCTTCTCAATTATACGCCGACATATAATTTCACCGGCGTAATGCTGACCACATTACCCACCGAGTGCTGATGGTCTGTAAAAATATGGGACGCTCTGCCCATATGCCCGATGCGTCGAAAGGCGTGAAAAGGGATCTTTACTTTTTTACTTTTTATATAATTTAACAGGTTGAGTAAAGAACAATTCAAACACCACAGCTCTTTGTTGTTAGTGTTTGTTCATTCAGCTAGCTGGATTTCTTTCTGCCGGTGCAACTAGAGGTAAACAATCTAGGGATGACCAAGCTTGGCCACTCAACACGGAATCAGTCAACATAGTCAATCAGATATTACCTTTGACAAATAATACAAGGTCCGACAATTAAGTCATGAGACTAATCCCATAAAATAATCAACAGTTAAAGATATAACCTGTATCTGATTCAAAGTCAGCCCCTTGTGCATTAATACAGCAAGTGGCACGATCTAACATACACTAGAACGATCTCTTTAGTTCTCCTGTTGTTATCGCCCGTAAAGTCGGTGTTACAGCCCTTTGGATGTCATCAATATTGTTAAAGAAGTGCCCTTTCAATCACAACTTTAATTTTGTGAATAGAAAATAAACACAAAGAGACAAATCTGGGAAATAGGGTGGAAGGCTGAGCACACACACTCATTTTTAGGCTAAAAATTATGATAATGTCTCTTTGGTACTCAACCTGCTGATGTTTTAGGTCATCAGACAATGAATATGGTAGAAACCGGCAAGCAACTTTTTATCTTGCCACTAAGATGTTATGAATGGTTTCTCTATTAACACCAAATTTATCTGCCATCACCCTCACAGCAAAACAATGTTCTTTCATAGATCCATTGTGTGACTTTTGTAATGAGTTCATCATCACGAACTGACATTTGGCATCCAGGTCTAGTTGCACATTAGTAATCATTTCCTTTGAATTGTGAATACCACCTGAAAATGTGTGCATGAGATAAACAATTATCCCCATAAACTTGTTGCATCATGTCAACTGTTTCAGTGGTGCTTTTTCTGAGTCTTGAAAAGAATTTAATGTTAGATTTTTGCTCCATGCTGATTACGTAACAATCCACCTCTGACTAGGTCAATAAAATGGTGGCTTGTTTGTTGACTGCTTATCGAGCTAAAAGTTGCTAGATCATAGATGCATGTTGCCTCTTTAGATTTCATGCTTTGCTTTATAGATGGCATTTTTGTCTTGGCCACAATTTTCTTCTTTTTCACGTTCACCAGTTGTAAACTCTGGCGGAAAGTTTTGGTTGTTCATCCACTCATTTGAATGCAGACTGTAGGTTCCTTGCCTCTCAGGCAGATGCACTGACTTCCGAAGTAAGCTTTCAATTAGTCCACTCTTACGACACGCTTTTGGGTAGGCAGTGGGTCTATTCTTTATTTCCCCTATAATAGGGCCCCGGAACCCACACAGGGATTGGCCACAATCAAATCAGTTGCATTACCTAATTGTCGGACCTTGTACATCAGAACATTCGACGTAGACACTGTGACATTTGCAGTCATCCACATTGACAGCAAACGTTGACTTCCAGGCTTGACAAGCTGTCTGACTGACAGGGTAGCCAGTTTTTCATGGAACTTATAGTCAGCTTGGTACAGGCACTTGCAATAGATTCGTTCAGCATTCACTCTTTCAGCTCCATCAGCCACACCGTTCCAGAATCAAAATACAGACTGATCTTTCTCGTTCATTCCATGCTTCAAAAAATCTTTATTTTCCTGGTGCTATAGATCATTAAATCATTCAACGCTCATAATTCACGTTCTCTTTCAGTTGGCATGGTTTTACCAATTCGCCTGCTTGGCTCGCATTCTTCATGCAACGCACTTTGTAATCGATTTCACTCACCTGAGCTTAAGTATATCATTTATGTTTAGTATCAGAGCTTAAGTATATCATTTATGTTTAGTATCAAACCTCATTACCAGTGCAACATTAATTATCAAGGAGAAAATGACTTGTTACAGTATGTGTGTGTGTGTGTATGTATATATATATATATATATATATATATATATATATATATATATATATATATATATATATATATATATATATATATATATATATATATATATATATATATATATATATATATATATATATATATATATATATATATATATATATATATATATATATATATATATATATATATATATATATATATATATATATATATGTGCATGTGTGTGTGCATCGGTATGTGATCAATGGATAAATATATGATGACCTTTTGAAATCTCTTATCTTACCTTTACCAAAAACACTTAGTGCTGCAGATTGTGGAGCACATGGGACATTTAGTTGTGGTTACTAGTATTGTTGATAGTCGTGTTATTATTGCTATGGATGTTATAATAGATGTGTATGTTAGCATTAATGTTACAGTTGGCATGTACATTGTAATAGTGAAGGTTACCATTTATGTTGATGTGAATGTTTGTCATGACCATGTGACCTGGACTTTCTTGTTTAGATCTTTGTGGAGAGAACCAGCAACAACAAACACCTCAACACAATAAACATCAGGCACGTGGCTAACTCCATCAGGACCCACGGCATTGGTATTATGAACACCACGGTAAGTTACACCATGATCACCACTGTAAGTAAGTTACACCATAAACACCACTGTAAGTAAGTTACACCATAAACACCACTGTAAGTAAGTTACACCATGATCACCACTGTAAGTAAGTTACACCATGATCACCACTGTAAGTAAGTTACACCATGATCACCACTGTAAGTAAGTTACACCATAAACACCACTGTAAGTAAGTTACACCATGATCACCACTGTAAGTTACACCATAAACACCACTGTAAGTAAGCTACACCATGATCACCACTGTAAGTAAGTTACACCATGATCACCACTGTAAGTAAGTTACACCATGATCACCACTGTAAGTAAGTTACACCATGATCACCACTGTAAGTAAGTTACACCATAAACACCACTGTAAGTAAGTTACACCATGATCACCACTGTAAGTAAGTTACACCATGATCACCACTGTAAGTAAGTTACACCACTGTAAGTAAGTTACACCATAAACACCACTGTAAGTAAGTTACACCATAAACACCACTGTAAGTAAGTTACACCATAAACACCACTGTAAGTAAGTTACACCATAAACACCACTGTAAGTAAGTTACACCATGAACACCACTGTGGGTAAGTTACACCATAAACACCACTGTAAGTAAGTTACACCATAAACACCACTGTAAGAAAGTTACACCATAAACACCACTGTAAGTAAGTTACACCATAAACACCACTGTAAATAAGTTACACCATAAACACCACTGTAAGTAAGTTACACCATGATCACCACTGTAAGTAAGTTACACCATGATCACCACTGTAAGTAAGTTACACCATGATCACCACTGTAAGTAAGTTACACCATAAACACCACTGTAAGTAAGTTACACCATAAACACCACTGTAAGTAAGTTACACCATGATCACCACTGTAAGTAAGTTACACCATGATCACCACTGTAAGTAAGTTACACCATGATCACCACTGTAAGTAAGTTACACCATAAACACCACTGTAAGTAAGTTACACCATAAACACCACTGTAAGTAAGTTACACCATAAACACCACTGTAAGTAAGTTACAGCATGATCACCACTGTAAATAAGTTACACCATGATCACCACTGTAAGTAAGTTACACCATGATAACCACTGTAAGTAAGTTACAGCATGATCACCACTGTAAGTAAGTTACACCATGATCACCACTGTAAGTAAGTTACACCATAAACACCACTGTAAGTAAGTTACACCATAAACACCACTGTAATTTACACTATGAACAAGGTTAGGGGCTCAAGGCCTTGTCTGCCCTGCCATAACATAAAATTTACAGACTGCATTTCCTATTGCTAGGATAAGGCTAGAATCCACCCTAATGCGCTCCTCTGCCTGAAGCTGTTGGCACAATATGGGATGTCAGGTTTTCTATACGCTGCCAAACATTTGGCATAACAAAAAACAGGTGGTACCG